TGAACTTAGTTAATGGCAGACTGAGCAGAAGAACAGTGTTGTCATCTCCACTAGTCCAGAAAGGGATCGCTGGAGAGGCAGATGATAGAAGCGGGGGCAGGGTCGTAACACAAAGGGAAATGCCTGTCCTAGACCCATTTCCCAGGCTACTGCCACCTGGGGCCTTCAGGTGGTCAGGGATGTGGTTAGTGGGGCTGTGTGCGGCATCCGGCTCACTCTCCAGAAGGCAGATGCACTCAGTTGCTTTACTGCCTCAACCTTCCTTCCAGCTCTGGTCCTGGGATGTACACAGGGTTGAGGGTTTTAGACAATCTCTAGGGAGGGGGGACAAGAAATAGAGCAGACATAAGAAATCTGCTTCCCTGCTGTGCCTACTCCAGCCCCACCCTCTAACTCCTGAGTACCTCTCATGTACTATTTCCTAGCGCCTCTGAAGTAAGGAGTTTAGATCCAGCTGGTAGGGAAGGACTCTGAATCTATCGTTTTTAGGGAAGAAGCAGTTCAACCCCACGTGGTGATGTTGCTATTAGTCTCCCTTTCACTGTTTCCTGATTCTTATTCTGTAATTGTTTGTTGTATTTCCCCCAAATGTCTTGGTCACTAGGCAAAGCTGCTAGTGGGATTCTGTATTTCATGTCATCTTTTTTATTATAATTTATTGCAAATTTTTTTTCTGAATAAATATATGTTGTGTGAAAAACCAAAGTGTGATCTTAGGAAGAACTGAGGAGGGAGGCTTATGTCACTGGGTCCCACTTGACTGCTGCAGTCCCCACCGCTACGCCTGGACTGTCATTTCCTGTCTTACAGGGAAATATCGTAAGAATTCTCAGTATATTTGCCCTTGGAGAGGAGAAGAAGCCACATATTTTCAGAGGTTAATAAAGCAGTCACAGTGCTTTCAGAGGCCAGCCAAGGATTCTTGTTTTGACCCTAGGGATTCAGGCAACAAAATAACACTGTTAGGAGAAAAGATGTTGATTCTTAATATGCCCATAAATGTCACACTGGGTCAGATCCATGATCGCGCCAGCCCCAGGAATCTGACAAACTTCGCTGTCCACATTTTGGGAGAACCCAGTTGGCCTTGGCAACATAGCCTCAGTAGTGTAGACATGCCTCCCAAAGAGCCCGTTTTCACGTAATTCATTTTGCAACTTTTGAAAAATCAGTTTTGAACTTATATTACCTCTTGGGGTGACAAAGTCCATAAATTTAATTGTGCTTTTTCTTTTTTGGCTCTAATCTGAACTCTGAGACTTTAAGAGGAGATCCCTAATTGGAGCATGGTGCTTATTCCCCTGCCACCGCCGATCTCTAGTATGGATTTGGGCGTTCTGATTCCTTTCCCTTCGAGACCGAAGAGGCCTCGGCTGGAGGCTGCTTGACAACCAGGGCCTCTTACAGCCCCTTTGACTGTGAACTTGACCCTGGTGCATGTGCTGATTCAGTGTTGTCGTGAACGGTTTTTCTAGCCCCACCCGAAGCCTTGGCAGAAGAAGGTGTTTCCTTTTGCGAGTGATTCCCCCGCAGTGGACGGAGACTGACGGCCAGCAGTTTGTACACAGCAGCGGGCGGTGTGGCAGAGCAGCCTCAGTGACTGCCTTCCCAGAGGTTAGAAACCGCGTCCCTGGCTGCTGTTACAGGAGACCCGTGAGGGCTTTCCTGACCGCAGGGCAGGTTGAAGACCTGGCTTTTGTGTAGCCTAATGATCTAAAGCTACATGCTGCCATGGCGAGATCACCATGAAATGTTAGGGAGAGAACCTTGGTGGTGATCTGATCCAATCTCGTTCTGATGGGCAAAGTCAGGCTCAGAGGGGACAATGAGTGACTTAATGTCATTTAGGTTAGTGACATGGCATGGCATAGTGGGAAAAAAAGAGCTTCAGCTTTGGAGTTAGACCTGGTTCTTTTTCCTAATTTTTTTACAAAATTTTTCAAACATATAGAAAAGTTGAAAGAAGGGAACAGTGAACACCCTAGACCCCTACCTGTGCTCACCAACTGTTAACATTTTGCCCGAATTGCTTTATCTTAGAGGGGGCGTGGTTTCAATCTGGGTTCTGCCACCGCCTCCTTACGCATGATCCTGGACTAGCTAACTTCTAGTTTCCTGGCCTATCAAATGGAGTGGGCATAGTACTGATCTTATATGACTTAACTACATCACTCTCATCACTTCCCTCTTAAAAACCCTCCAGTGACTTCCCAGCGCATTTAAGAAGAAAATCCAAACTTTCCCATGGCTCACCAGGCCTTGCATTATTAAATGAGAAAGAAAGGAAGTGCAAGCACGCTATCGGGCACGTAGTGGGTGCTGGGTAGATGTTAACCAGTCCCCGCTCCCCCCAGCTCCGCACCATACAGTATATGACCCTGGCTCTGCCGCACTGCCCTAGGCTTTCGGGACCTCACTTGATGTTGACAACCTTGTCAGCTCAGTAAATTCTGACCCCGTGCTCAGCCTGTCCCCCTTCCCCCACCACACACCATCGCGTCACCTTCCATACTTCTGTATTTCAGAGTTTGGCCATCCATCTTTTGGAGAGGGGGGGTGAAGTGTAAACTAAACGATGAATAATGAGCTGCCATCACCAGCATGGAACAGCTGTCTGGTGTGAGCCTTGAACCTCGGGAGCCCCACCTGCAGTTCTGCCTGTCCCCCCATCTCCCCATCAGCCTCCTTTCGCTCCTTCCTGCACCACTGTGCCCTGGCCTCAGTGCCAGGTTTCTAGCCCTTCTTCCTCCGCCTGCCCCTTGGATAAAGCCCCCCTTTAGTTTCCACCTTTGCTGCTCCTCACCCAAGTTCATTCTTTCCCAACCAATGCTCCCTTCTCCCTCGCCTCGGTCCTGTGGAAGCTACTCCCATGCCCCGGTTCCCTGAGAGGAGACCAGGGCCTTGCCTGTTCCTCAGTCACACTTTGAAGCCATGGCTCTGTGCTGTTCAGTGAATGGTTCTCAACCTTGGCTACTCATTAGAATCATCTAGAGCATGTTTCTCAAAGTGTGAGCCCCAAACTAGTATCACCTGGAAATAGGTCTAAATCAGTGGTTCTCAACTCTGGCTGCATAACCTGGGGTACTTTACACAATACCAATGCCTAGGCTCCACGTTGGACTGTTTGAATGCCTACCAGTCACCCTCCCCCGCCCCCTGCGACTGTACTCTGACACTGTCATTTCACTCCTCCCAATGAGCTAAGCTCTTTCCCACCTCAGGGCCTTTGCACATGCTGTTTTCTCTCCCCAGAAACCCCTTCCCTCACGCACTTCAGAATGCCTCAGCCTCCGTCTTTGCCATGCTTAATCCTGAGTCACAACCACCCACGTCTCCCGACCCATTCACTCTCTTTGCTCCCATTCCTGGGTTCCTGGCACAGCATGCTGGCTGGCTGGCTGCCCCTGGGCCTGCCATGTACCATTCATTCCACAGTCCTCCTCTTCATCTCTAGCTGACCCTTCACAGACCCGCACCTCAGGGACCAGGGAGGCAGGGAATTGTAGTGGTTCTTCACACAGGCTCCACCAGCCAGACAGCCTGCGTTCAAATCCCAGCTCTGCTACATCTTAGATGTCTGACCTTGGGAAAAAGTTAATTGACTTCTCTGGACCTCAATTTCCAGATCTTAAAATGGAAGTAATGATAGTACCTTTCCTCATAGAATTGTCAAGAGATGAAATGAGCTAATATGTTTAAAGGGCTTGGAACAGTACCTGGTGCATAACTGCTAACTAAATGGCAGCTAGTATAATTATTCCAAAACCCTCTACTAGCCTCAAAAGCCAGACCTCTCTTCCGCTGCCCTTCAGCCCCCAGCAGGTAACTGCACCCTTTCGTTTGTGAAAATGTCTAAGCGGTCAGCCGAAGCAGCCCTCTCGAAGCCCTGCGCTGCATATAAAAATGTCTCCAGCTTCCCCTCATCCCTCCCCCTTCCCGCCTGTCTTGGAAGTAAGTGGTCCTCCTCCCCACCTCCTCCCACCCTCATTGGCCATGCTTCTGTCACCATCACCCCTCCTTTTGCATCTTCTACGTCAACTATTCATTCAAGTATTTGTTGAGTGTCTCCTGTGCACCAGATGCTGTTCAAGGTACTGAGGATATAGAATTAAACAGTAAAGTGGCTGCTCTCTCAGTGCTTTCTCTAGGAGGGTGGGGCGGGATGGGGGTAGACAGACATAAAAATAA